CTATTTCCGTCTCATTTTTATTTTGTTATTATTCATTTTTTAGAATCGTTTTCAAATAATTTAGTTAAAGGTTTTTTAAATTTAGATATTTTGAAACATCCCGAATTTTTATTTTTCGAAATTTCGAAAATTTTATAAATTAAAAATCTCGATTTTCACTATTGAGAAGATTAATATAAAACCAATTTCAAATTCGAGTCCAAGTTTACGGAGTTTGGGCTTCCAAGCGCCAAAGCATATTATTAATATATTTGGCACAAGTGGAGAACCTTGTAAGAATTTTTTTTGGTCTTTAGACGTAAATATGGATTGCACTAATTTAATATAACATTATTAAAAATTAATTTTCTCTAAAATTTCAAATTAATGATTACTAACTTATATTTTTTTTATTTTTTAGTTAATGAAGACGAAAAATGTTGGATGAAACGCTTAATTAAAAAATAATTAAATAAATTGAACCGAATCCCGGAACTCAAATTCGATTTTTCGAAAATCGAACACGAATAACCTAAAAACCAAGTGAAAGATCAGACAAAGACAACAGAAAATCGAGCCGAATATTGGGAATTAGACAAAATCCGAGTCTACGGATCGAACCGGAAATGATCCTCACCGAAGCCCCCGATTTTTTTTTCTTTCTTTTTTTTCTTTTTCTTTCTTCCTTTTCTTTTTCTTTCCTCCTTCTTCTTCCTTGCGCCAGCACCAGCGCCGACCTCAACTCACCTCTCTCTCACCCTTTCATTTTTTTTGATCACAGCGGCCGACCAGCCACTCTGCCAACCATCATCTCGACTGCGCGCCGCCTCCTCACCGCGGCATCTCCGATCGTTTCCTTCTCTCTCTCTCGGCAATTCAACTTCTGGCGAGAGCATGTTAGTCGCCCAGGAAGAAGTCGGACTTCCTCATCGACTTTTCCGGTGACACCAGCCCATAGCCGGCCAATCCACAATCGTCTCCAGCTACCACCGCTCGACGTCGCTTCTCTCCTGCTCCACGACTACTAGTGAAGACAGCAGCTCAGGTGAAGCAACCGGCCTCTATTTTCAAAATCAACTTCAGCCACTTCAGTGAGGCTCTGAAGCTTTCTCTCATCTTATCGCTCTCCAGCGAGCACCACCACTGCATCCGGTCAATGCTAAATTCCTGGTTAGTCGTGGTACTTGGGTATTGGATATTAATTTTGGTTTACTTCCTAGAAATTAAATTAATTTCTACGTCATTTTGTGGCTAGTCAATTTTAATTTAAATTATCGTATTCACCAATATATTCTCAAAAAGCTGGTTGATTCGATTAGTAAGACTTTATTAATTAAAGCCAATTTCAAAATTAGACAACCAAATACAAATTTTAATATTGAAAATTTTGATAATAAAAATATTAATGGAATTAAAGTGTGGATGTTAATGGTAGTCGCACTTGAAATGTTATTAATTAAGTTAGTCTTTGATAGAAAATTAAAATATTAGTAAGAATTAATTGGTGGGGAGCGTTCATGTGGGTCCGGATATAATATGGCCACGACTCTTGATCATGAAATGAAAGAAATGCCTAGGTTCGCTGAAACACTATTCACGACGGGGGAAAAAAAAAAAACCTGGGGAAGTTGGGAAAATCTGATTTGACTATTAATTTGACACTATAAACTGGGCTTTTTTTCAAGGACATGTGTAAGTTAGGGTGTTTTATGAGATTATTATTCCTATGGAAGAAATTACGATATGATTGTGATATGGTACTAGCCAAACCTAAGCTATTTGCTATCAAATTTCTGCTTTTGATATGAGGACAATTTGACATGATACATAAGTTTAAGTTTTGGTTGAGTAAAATTGAGTTTAACTAGTGTTATAATATGGATTATTGATGCGAGAAACAAATTGATTTTCTTGGTTGGCAGAGCCAACTATTCTTCAAATTCTATTTCTATTCGAATTTCTGTTGACCATGGTACACCATTAATTGTAAAAATACTAAATATAACTTGCGTGGAATTAGTTTGAGTTGTGTGACTCAATTATGATTTAAGAATAGAAAACCTTCAATATTCTTTACGATATTGAGCAGCATTACTTGGAATTTTTTTTATTTTTGTGTGTGTTTTTTTAGACAGGATTACAATATATGTTATAATGAAGTCGGGTACTTTCAAGATTTTCATGAATGATTGATGTATAAATGCTTTATTTATGATTTGAGGGACGAATAAAATGGTGTTCGTTTACCCTGAAAATTATGGCTTGGGAGAATGTTGAATTCGACATATTATTAAGATAACGTTATTCGGATCTTAGTTAAATAAATGATAAAGAAAGAAAGAAAGAGTTGATTAATAAGTTGGGCATATTGTGTTATTTTACAAGCCCATATATACTCATCGAGATAATATTAAACCAGTAGATGATGTGGTTTAAGTAAGTGTTTAATTTTCATATTATTTCGTTATTTTTATGTATGGGGCTTAACCTTCGATAGAAGTTTTGGAGATTTGTTGATAGCTAAAGTTTTAGTATTGTGGAATTAAATATTTATACTATTACTTGACTTGATGAGCGACAGCGAATTTAATTTATTGATTGCCCTTGATGCGATGGGCTGTGTGTGTAATGGATGATGGATATATATTGCTGATATTTTAAGCAGGTAGATTAATTCCGACTTTTAGGAGAGAAATTGCTGCTGAATGATTCACTGTTATCATTGAACATATTCGATAGAACTTAGATTAGTTTTAATTAACCAATATAAATTAATAAATGTTTATTTAAAATAAATTCTATAATTTGATTTACATGATAAATAAAGTACTCTGATTATTTTAATTTATTATCAATTATATTATTCATTTAAGTATATCGCAATATTTATTTATTTTATTTTCACTGTTTATTGTTTTTATCATTATTATTAATTGTTTGTTGTTAACACTTATTATTTATTTATTTGCATTTTTTGGATTTTGGATGTCTAATTGGTGCATTGCATTACCGATGTTTTAATTGAATTAGATATGCTTGCAATTTAAAATTGGGCAATACTATGATTAATGGTGTTGTGATATTGTTATGGCTTTTTGGGTTCGTGATGAGCCATTGGGAGACAGTGGGTCACCAAACTGGTATGTGAGGACGGTTTGCCGACCGAAGAATCGGAATAAGACCGGGTAAATGGGAAGATCAGACAAGCACCCGTGAAAGTGTACCTACATAATCTTCGCGTTGAATTTGGTATGCGCATATTATGGAAATACCATAGGTTGGCTTCTGCTTATTCGGTCAGCACCTGATAATCTTAGGTTGTGATCGCAGACGCGCAGAGAGTGCCTCCTGTTGTGGAGCGGCTTAATAATGCCCTACGATTTGAATCGGAGAAGACGACCGGAGATATGCCTCCTGTTGTCATGGGAAGAGAAGATGAGATGGTAAAAACAATGAGAGGGTTTGGTCAAGTGAGGATTTGACTGGTCGGACCAGTATGGGGGATCGGTTCTCCTGGTGCATCACGGTTATGTAGAGGGAATGGGCCTGTGGGAGAGACGGCTCATGGGGTTATTCGGTGACTGCACACATGAGCAATTTCCCACGTCGCCATGTGCATTATTTAGAAGGTGAAATATTGTTTGTAGAGTTGCTGGGTGACGATGTTCCATATTGTGTGACTGGCTGCGTGTTAGCATATAACTTAGTCGGTCAAATTGGACTAGAATTATAGGTTATATATATTTATTACACAATTGTTAGTGAAATGTGTTGGTGTTGTGCAATTACATATGTTCACTTCCTTAAGAAAGCTCCACATAATCTTGATTTTATAACTTTTTCAAGAGAAGTAAGTTTCTCTTTAATTCGGTTAAGCTATGTCCTTCATAGCAGAGCTAGAAAAGAAAATTTTCCTAGACCAATTAAATATTTATGCCTATGTATCTAGGAATGTTATAAAATTCATGCATAACTATTAGCTCATAGTGACTCCACAAGTTGTAGAAAATTCTCTTTAATTCGGTTAAGCTATGTTCCTTCATCGCAGAGCTAGAAAGAAAATTTTCCTAGACCAATAAATATTTTGCTATGTATCTAGATGTATAAAAATTCATGCATAACTATTAGTTAGTGACTCCACAGTTGTAGAAATTGTATACAATTAGTCGTGTATTAACATAGACAATATAATTATGTGAGCCTATATTAAAAATGTGGAGAATTGTTAACTGGGCTCAAACTGTGGAATGTTGTAGCTGATAAAGTTAGGTCGAGATTAAATAAAATCTAGAGATTTATTTTCCTTTAAACATGTGCTAAATGTTTGAAATTTATATTCAGATAATAAATCTTAGTGATTTAGGTTTACTACGGGCCTCGGGGGCCTTAAGCTTACCTGGGCCCTAGTGCCGGTCCGGCCCACGGAAACGGGTCGTGACAGATATGTAAACAATTATTTTTTTTTCATAATAACTTTTATGATTATTCATTAAATGAAGGACTTCTATTAATATATCGATGACTTAAGGGTAAAAAAAAAAGAGTAAAATAATTTTTATTAACCAAATTCTTAATATGAGTGTTTTGATCGTGCAAACAAAATGGGACTGAGAGAGTATTATTTTTTTTCCTTTACAAATTACTTAAATTATTGATTCTAAATTTAATTAGCAATTTAGTTATACATTGAATTTAGTATTATTACATGATTATTAGGTATGTAATATGAGATTAAAATAATTATACTTATCTACTAAACTTTTTTACATTTAATTTTAATTATCACCAATTTAATTATTTTAATTCAATTTATATGTACCTCAAAATGTTGTGCCACTTTGTAGGTAGATTCAATTAATTTATTAATAAATTAATTAATTTTCAAGGCGCATAGAATTTAATGACTATTTAAAACTTCAAATACTATATAGTTCAAACTACTGATATTTATCTTAATTAATAATAATTAAAGATATCATCCCAGCACTAGAAAGAGAAAGAGGAGTTCCCATAATTTAATTTTTATAAAAAATAAAAAAATAAAAAATAAAAAAGGAAAAAAATATTTTGCAATGAGAAAAAGAGAGAGAGAAGAAGGGGAACAGAAACAGAGGGGAGAGGGAGAAAAGAGTTCTAATCGCTAAGTTCCTCCTTAACCGTTAGTAATGTCCCTAAACAACGCATCTCACTCTCTAAAAGCTTTTGGATGTTCTTATAACCGTGGAAAAGCAGAGGAAGAGATGAGTTCTCTGCGGAGAGAAAACTCACCTGAAGATTGAGCTAACTGACAATGGAGGAAGCGAAGGTGGTGGTGAAGCATGTGTTGGTGGCTAACTTGAAAGATGGAATTCCACCAGAAGAAGTTGAGAAACTGATTAATGGATATGCAAATCTTGTCAGTCTAATATAACGGTTAAGAAAAGCTTCCGGCTGGTAATGTGCATCCTTCTCTTTCTCTCTGTTTCTATTAATTAAATCAAATCCATTTTTGAATTTCTTGAGATAAATGAATTGGATTTTGTTAGATTTGATAATGGTTGTTCGTTTTGTTTAATTTGATTCATTAACATTTTTCTCCCTGATTGATTTAGTTTTCCTTCATAATCTGTATTCGCATCTCTTTCTGCCCCTAAACGCCGATGCATAGTTTGATTCAGCAACTTAGGGTATTGCTTAGTTTTACTTTCTTCCAGTAAGACAACTTTGCTTGTCCTATATGTACATAGATATATTAGGGCTAGAAGAAGGCCATAACTGAAGAAGGTGGAGTGTAGTTTAGGCTACAATTTAACTCTGTAACTTTGAATTAAAATATATCAAATTATGATCGTTTTAAGATTAATTTCACTTGTAATTAATATGTTAGGTTGGGATTACGAGGCTGGGCTGGCCATTCTGATTTTAATGATCTTTAGGACATGTAATTAATTATTGGGCAGCCTTCGAGTGCGATCCAAATATTAGGTAGTGTGAATTTAAGTTAAAAATATTGAATTTCACTAAGCCATTACATTAGCTTCATTTAATAACAGGTCATACCTATATTTAGAATAGCAAGGGGATGGGTGTGACAATACATATAGTTTTTTAATTAAGTTGAAGTTAAACAATAAAGTTTAAAGTGGTTACATTTCAATGAATGATCTAAAAGCAATGTGAAATTTTGTGAAACAGAATCAAGATATTGAAGTTCAATACATACTGATATTGAACTTATGTGTTTCATGGTTCAAGAGAAGCCAAACAATAGTGATTAACCCTCCACCAAGCCTTAGCTGTTCAGTGTGATGAGCCCAAGGGCAATTGCTTGCAGCATAGAAAAGCATTTCAACCCAAACACTACATACCAAACTCCATTTATCTTCCCTGTCTATCAGAAGCTGGGAAAGTTGTTTGGCATCCAATAATAAATCCCAGCTTGATACGATCACATTATCACTGAGAGCATATATATTCTCATCATGGTCATCATTGCTGTCAGGTTTAGGCATGTTAATCGTAGCTTCTTCATAACGCTTTTGGAGCAAATTGTGAAAAAAATCTACTTGCGTTACCTCTTTATTAGATGATGATGATGCTGATGGTGATGATGCTCGTATGCTCTCTAAAAAATGACTGAGTTTTTCACTAGCGCCTTGGAAAAGCACATTCCCTGTACCAATAGATAGCATGTGAGGGCGCACGGCTAGTAGATACATCATATAGTTAGACAAAAAATAACTGAATCTACACAACTCTTTAGTGAGAGTATCTTGGGGCTCCGTATGTTTTTCTTTTTTTCCTGAAAGGAGGGGATCCCTATCTAAGCAAGCCTCAGTTGCTATATGCCATACTGTTATGGCCCTTCCAAAACTTGTTTGCGCGTTTGCTTCATTAGTATGATCTGATTCTATGCTCCATTTGAATTGGTCAAGACATTTGTACCTTTCCAATGCCCATTCTCCTCTTTTACTGAATGCTTGCCAAACTCTTTGTCCTCGAACTTCCTCAATCTGTTTAACTATGAATTTCTTGAATTGATCATCAACTCTAACTAACTGTGTTATGCAAAACCTCTTGTAGCTTTGATCCCATCCCAATTGGTATCTATTAGCGCCTGGAATATTCCTCAGGACCCGACTAATGAATCTGCTAGTCCTGCTAGGCTCTTCATGCAGACAATAATGCAACATATTTAATTGCTCCATCTCATTTGACCATCTAGGCGGCCTTGGAATGAGACGAGCAAAGAATTGAACAGAAGCATCAACAAAATAATTTCTTTGCTCTTTTATCAAAGAAAGAACAGACCAATCTGAGCAAAGAATTGTTCGCAATGCATAAATTTCCATTGTAACAGTACTAACAAGAAGCAGATAAGTAATGGCAATATCCACCTTCTTGTCATACTTCCGCAAAACAAGAATTTTCAAAAGCTGAATATCAGCGTTTCGAAACAAGATTGCGAATCCACACAGGCTGGAAACTAGACAAAGAAAACAAATGACTCGAAGGACAAAACTTGTGGTGGAATAATTGATGGGAGCCCTAGTGTAGAGCATATCATACATGTAGCTTAGCTCTATTTCTGCAATTCTGAAGGTATCTTCAGGTTTGGAATAATGTGTGCTCATAGAAGGTAAGTGTATGGACAAAGGATGGCCTATCCAATTTTGAAGGTGAGGCTTTAAGTGTTCGAAACGAATATAAGCCTTTATGAGCAATGGAAGATCAGGAATTGAGGGCTTAAGATCCGAAACTCTCTTTATTTGTAAAGCTTCACTGCTGGCCAAATTATCAAACACTGGTTCTGTTATAGCTGAGCATCTAAGACACCAAACTCTTTGGAGACTTTTGATAGCTCCACTCAAAAGCAAAGCCAAGGCTGTTATTGATAACCAAGAGTTGTTCCAAGATTTGATAAAAATCAGACCAACAACACTTATTTGCACTGCCAACTCAAGAAACTGCCTTATACCCAATCGGTTATCCTCCACCGCATAGGCGGTGATGCTGTCAGGACCGCCAATATGAACAAGCAGCAGTGGGGCCCACATCGCCCTTAGTTCATTGTTGGTAATGTTAATCCTAGGAACAGTATCACCAAAACTGATGCTAGTAAGGGCAATTGAGTCGTTGGTGGTTTCAGTAAGCTTGCCAAGAGCCACTATCGAGACATAGGTGCCCATTAAATAAGCAAACCAAACAATGAAGCGAGTAGTAACTCCTTTATGGTACTTCCGGCGAGCGGCGAAGACGGCCAGGACTATTTGAAAGAATAAGCTTGCAATTACCAGAACCTGAACCTCAAATGCAGCCCACAGATCTTTCACCCACTCTGCGCTAAATAATTCTTTTGCTACCTCCCAACTCATTTTCCCAAGCTAATAAACAACAAACAAAGTCAATTATTTCTCTGCTCATGTTTAAAGGTAGAAACAAAACATAATAGTATTTTTATTCTGTATGTTAGTTCATATTCTTTCTCAGAACCATCCTTTATCTCTCTTTGTTATTTTTCCCATACAAAATTTCTTCTCTAACAAATTATTTCCATTTTCAAATACACCTAATTAGAAAAAACTTTCATGTAAAAATAAAATAAATTCATATATAATAATAAAATTCAAACACTAATTCGAAGGAAACCATGTGTACTTTTATTCTTGTGTATAACTTTCATCTAGTTTGAATCTGCAATACTTTAATTGTTTTAAAATTGTATTGTTTTTGGTAGTTATGGCAAAATTTAATCTGCAAGCAAGTACAAAGTGGTAATTCCAACTGCTCTTATTTTGCTACAAGTAGATAGTTATTGTTCGTTAATTAATTTCATTGTCAATTGGAACAAAAAATGAAGAAAAAATAGATTTTATGAGATTTCTTTATTTGATTAAGAAAAAAAATAGAAGACAACTTGTAGAATTGATAAATTTTATCAATTGCCTTAATTTCTTTTTTTTTTTTTTTTGAAATTTAAACTATTTAATTTTATTTTAAAACACATCCTTTGAATTCATAAATTTTACTTTCCTATTTAGTGCGTGAATTTCATATTATATCAATCCAAATATTTATTTTCTTTTTATTTCATATTGTAAATTGACTGAACAATGTATGTATTTTTTTTTTTTTAAATTAAGCTAAATATATGTTTTTATCTTAATGTGTTCTATAACTAATTGAATTTTTTTACATAATATTTAATACATTTTTTTTAAATGACTAATAAAATTAATGATTAATAAAAATATAATTTTATTACTGACCATTTTTATAAGATTAATAGAGTTCAAATATAATGTAAATATAAATCAATTAGTTGATACGAAAAAGCTCTAAATTGCAACTGATGAAACCAACAGCTCTGATTGGGGCTCTAATTAGCTATCAGCTGCATAATCATCTGAATCAAATGTCCTCTTAGTATATAGTATATAGTTTTTTAATTTATACTTATGAGTATTATTATTACTTAATTAAGAAAACTAATATTTGAACTCAATTATGGTTTTAATATTAAAAAAATATCAAAATCAAAAATATTTTTGGTAATGATTAATATTTGAATTTAATCGTACAATAGGAATCCTAATATTTTTATAAAGAAGAAAAAAGGATGCATTATCAATTCAAGCTATTATGTTAAACGTGAAAGATTTACCTTATAATATTATATTATAAAAACAATTAATAGATAATAATATATACATGTATATATTTTAAATTTTGAGTAAGTCAACGTGTTATGTGTGTTCAGAAAAATTAGTAATAATTAAATAACTCGGCAAAGTAATACATCTCGAATTTATTAGATTGGTAGAATTTTAATATTCTATCATTTTTTTTATTAATAATAACCGCTTAATTTTATTTTAAAAGTAAAATTTTTAAATCTTTTAGACTTGGCATTTCATCAATTCAAACCACTAATAATAATAATAATAATAATAATAATAATAAACAGATGAAAGATATACCTGATAGTTGCTGAGTGCTTGAGTGAGCCCAAATTGAACTTATAATGTGTTTGGCAAATAAAAATAATAAAACGAAGTAGTAATAAAATAGCGAAATAGAGACGGTTGATGTGCCCAACAGCTATCCTCTTTTTATAGATCAGTTTAGTTGTACAATTTTGTGGGTCTCTTGGCAGCTATAAAAGAGAAAGTGAAATCAAGAATGTCACTTTGCTTGTGCAAATTTTGTTCGCACTTTTATTCCTGCTTTAGTAATGTACAAACTATCGGAAGTGGTTTGTGATTAAGATTCCGGGCAAAATTATAGCAGGGTTTTTATGGTTTGTGAAATATATTTAGTTTGTCTTTGTCTTTTTTAAAATATATTAATTTGTTCCTATATTTTACTTCAGTTATACTATTACGTCGTTCTGTTCAATTTTTGTATCTTTTCGTTAAGTCAAAAAGAAAATATAGAGATCAAAAGAGAGATATTAAAATATTATATCAGAAAAATCTCTCTTTGTCTGTTTTTAATATATTTTAATATTTGGATTCTTCTCCCTAGTTTATTATTAACTGTTCTAGTCATATATTATAGTGTGTCTGGTTTCAATTTTTGTATCTTTTTCGGTTTTAAGTCGATAAAGAGAAATATTAGAGATCAAAGGATAGACTATTAAAATATTAGAATGATATAATCAAGAAAAATTATTGATTCAGTCAATTAATGGTTGAAAATAGATCGGTCTCGTCCTATATTTTCCAAAAATTAAAGGTATTTGTAATTTCATCAGAAAATTATTGATTAAGTCCAGTATGGTTTGAAAAAGTAGATCGAGTTATGTCTATATTTTTCAATAATAAAAGGGTATTTTCTTCAGTTTATAAGGTAGCTTAATGAAAAAGATACAAAAACGTGTAGGACCGAAAGGCGATTCTTATGTCTTATTTCGGAGAGTAATAATAATAATATTTTGATTATAATTTCTTAGGATCAAGGTACAGAAAACTATTGCAGTTCTGGTCCATATGGTTTGAAAAATAGAATCGGTCCGTCCCTATATTTTCAAAAATAAAAAGGTATTTTCGTCATTTCATCAGAAAAATTATGATTCAGTCCATATGGTTTGAAAAATAGAATCGGTCCGTCCCTATATTTTCAAAAATAAAAAGGTATTTTCGTCATTTCATCAGAAAAATTATGATTCAGTCCATATGGTTTGAAAAATAGAATCGGTCTGTCCCTATATTTTCAAAAATAAAAGGGTATTTTCTTCATTTCATAAGATACTTAACTGAAAAGATACAAAAAGTGGACGAAAGGTTCTTATAGTCTATCGGAAGTAAATATAATAATATTTTATTATATTTCTTAAAGGAAGGATACGAACTAATTGCATTTCGCAAACTACATGAATCGTATTATGATTTTTCCTAACATTCCAACCACTTTAGAATTAATAATAATAATAATAACAAAGTAGTGATTCCATTCATTGTAATAAAACATTATATCACCTATGAAAAGTAAACCAATCTTTAATTTAGGGATGTTTACTTTAATTTAGTGGGCGATCTTTATCGTATCATATATTCGATGTGGGAGAAAATATAATATCACATATTTGATTTATGAAAAATTATTTAAAGAAAGAATTATCACAATTTTCGAAACAATTTTCGAAATAGATTTTAGGGAAAAATATAAATGGATCTTTAAATTATAATCAAATTAATATACGAGAATCTGTCAATTAGGTGTGATTTGGCTACTATTCAAATAAGTATTTAAGTTTTTAGTAATTTAGTAAATGAAAGAGAAGACTATCTCCTATTATATAGTTTACAATATTCTTTTGAATCGATGAGTATTCCAATGAATAAAAAATTAATACATCCTATCCTACGTTCATGTATTAATTCAACTGTAATTTAGAGCTATACAATAGTCTAGTATTCGTGTCTTTCCCCGCTTTCGTGCCTTTAACTTTTTGTTAACGTTTTGCCAGTCGATTTATAATAATAAAATTGTTCTTATATACACTTCCAACTTTTTGTTTCATGACACGTGTTATGTTCCTTTCCAATAGGAAACTTGATGGACAGCTGCAAGTATTCATAAACCGCTCTAACTGTTTAAACCGTTCTAAAATTAACGTTTTAGATGTTTATATTTTGATTTGGTGGAAAAATCTTACCTAAATTGGGTTCGTGACTTACTCATGAATCAAATCAACGAGAGTACGGAAAAGTTTTTTCTATTAAAATGAAAATATTTTCAACCATACATTTAGAAAAAAAAAAAAGTTAGAACACTTTTTAAAAAATCTTCTCTCATTGGTTTGTTCCACAAAACGTGTTCATGGATCTGGTGTAGGCAAGTAATTTTCTTGATTTGTATATTGGTTAGCAAGTAAACTGTAGTTTTACATTAGTTCAGGTATATAAATTATATAATTATAATTAGTTTATGAGAAATGTAAATGTTTAAAGTTGTTGATAGAGAATATATTAGTACACATTATATATAATTTAATTATATATAGGTTAAACTATAATTTTTATAGTTTTTTTTTAATAAATGTGGCAAGAAATTAACATTCGAATTCTATATTAATAAATTGCTTAATTAAGAACCAAGTTAAGAAAAAAAAAATGAAATTAATATAAAATTGAAAAATTAAATGAATATATTTTTAATTTTATTGTTGAGGAAAAAAGAGTGCCAATCAATTTTTTCATTTATGTAAACCATTTTTATAGAATTTAATAAAAACCATTGAGACCAAATCAAACTGAATTCATAGATTAGTTCCTCCGTTGCTAAATATCTGTCTGGAAAAATAATATATTGTTAAATACTTGTCACATTCATGAATTTCATAAATAATAAATTGTTTCTTTCATTTTTATCCTTTATATATGATTAATAGTGATTGCTTCGCTTCTTTAACAATTTATTATAATTTAGACAAATTAATAATAGTATAGTCTATCAATTTAATAATTTATTGTAATTTATACAAATTGAATGATTCTATTAAGGGAGGAGAAAATCCAAATGTGACAAATACTTGGCAAGGATGGAATATGTTACTATGTGAAATACACTAGCTGGAGTAAAGTGACAACAAACACAAACAAATGCATGTTAGCTTTGATTGGAAGACTTTAATTGCACTAGAAGCAAGGAAGTTATTCCATATATGGTATATATACACATTATTGCACACGCAAACCTCAATATTTTTGTTATCCAAAAAAACAGAAAATGAGTGGGAAGAAGACAGTAGGAATTCCAGACGGGGTGGTGGAACTGATGAAGGAGATCCAGTCACAAAGGAAAAGTACTGACGAGGAATCATTCGTGGAGGCAGTTGATAGAGAAAAACGTGACAGAGATAAAAAGAGACAAGATCAATCTGGGTCTGAAACAGTTAACGAGTGCAATGTCAAACCTCTTCTCAATTTGGTGGAGGACATCGTAAATCGTGCCATCCGAAATGTTACTAGCACTGTCCTGGTATATAAATAAATACATGGATTTTCTTGTTTACTCATTAGTTTTTGGAACTTGTAACCACATTTTTTTTCTTTCTTCTTTTCCGTGCAGGATATCCGAGCATACATGGAAGATGACAGCCATCAAGAAGAAGCCGTTTACTTGCGTGAGAATTTCAATTTTATACTGGATCAAATTTCCTACAAGGTTTGTAAATGATATATATAAAGTGTTCAGATACCCAACTAATCTGGGATTAAGGATTCAATGTTGTGATTGTATCAAATTTTCAGATAGCATACCACACTTCAAGCAAAGAACATCCACACCGCACAGTGAAGTCAATATTATTTAAGATCCTAAAAGATCATTCATGGGAGGATAGATTGATATTAACTCTAACAGCTTTCGCTTTGAATTATGGGGAATGCTGGCACCTAGCTCTAATATATTCATCACGCCAACTTGCTGAATCATTGTCAATCCTGAAACAAGTGGCCGATATCCACAAGCAACCCGATCACTCTTCTCCTCCGTTGCAAGCAGTAAATGATCTTGTGATGGCAATCATGGATGTGACCAGGTGCATCATTGATTTCCAGAGGGTGCAATACCAACTTGGCCGACTCAATAAATCAAAATTAGAACCTTTAGAAGCTATGGAGAGAGTAAACTATATCCCAATCGCCATCTATTGGACTATCAGAAGTGTCTTGGTTGCTGCATCAAAGATTACTCGTTTCATCAGCATGGGTCTTAAGTATGTTTTTCAATAGTTGGACGTTTCTCTCATATTATAGCAAGCTATTCTTTTCTATGAAAACTTCTAAAGATGCTTCTGTATTTGATTCAGCTATGTGATATCAGGCATAGAGAAGGCCGAACTAATAGACTTGACAGAGGTACTCACCGAGAAGAGACAACGCCTTCAAAAGTTGAAAGAGGATTTCAACTCCTGCTTAGGTAATTAAGAAATTAAACTGAATCAAAGCTAATTTGTTTGTATTTCTAATATTTGATATGTGATTGTATATATAAACACAGAGGAAGCGACTATCCTTAAACGTCAGGAAATAATCAAGAGCCTAATGGAAGTTCCACAAGTTGATAACATGAATATTCTAAGAGCACTCTTTTATTACAAAAATGATCCACAACAACTAATTCAGAAACAGGAAAAGGTTCTTCATTAGTTTTCCTTTCTTTTCTGGAAATTTATCAAATAATGTGATTGTTTGATTACTAATTGTTTTCCGGGTGACAACCAAATCATACAGTTTGAGCTGGAAGTGCTGAGGAAAAAACTAGTGTTATTGCTAATATCAGACCTAGACATCTCTGAAGAAGATATTAGAATTGTGGAAGACATATATTCCAAGTCCACGACCAAAACAGGACACCAAGCAAATCGACTGGAGATTGTGTGGCTCCCAATCATTGATCAACCAAAGGATTGGGAGAGGGAGGACACTAAAGTCAAGTTCGAGAAGAAGCAATCGGCTATGAAATGGTACACAGTGCACCAACCTTCATTGATTGCTAAAGAAGTTATCAAGTTAGCAAAAGAAGAGTGGCATTTTGGGAAGCAACCTATCATCGTGGTGATAGATGCACAAGGACAAGTTGCCTGCCCAGATGCATTCCCCATGATATATGTTTGGGGATATGAGGCTGACCCTTTCACCATATCAGCAGCGGAAGCTCTATGGAAAGAAAAATCTTGGAATCTTGAGTTGCTACTAGGTGGCATCGATCAACCAATTCTGGATTTGGTATTACACTACATTCTATCCTTAAATTCAACTCAGTTCATTGTTTTATTATATAATATATAGTCAAACCAAGTCAAGAAATCACAATTTAAAACTTGAAAAGAATGATGAATCTGCTCTGTCCAACTGGAATGATACTTAATATAATTAACCAAACTCATTTACTTACAACTATGCGTACTTTGCCCCTAGTAGCTAGTTAACTGATTGTGTGATTGTATGAATTGCTTATCAGATTAATAAATCAAAAAATGATTGCATATGCCTTTATGGAGGAGAGGACATGGAGTGGATTAACATGTTCGAAATCAGAGCGCCTTCCGTTGTACAAGCAGCAAAAGATGTCCTGAAAATGGTTTATGTGGGAAAGTGGAAATCAAATGAGCAACTACAGATATACGATACTAAATCAAACGGCCAAAACCTAAAACTTAGTAAAGAAAAAAACCTAAAACTTAGTAAAGAAAATCAAATGAAGTTTTGGAAAAGATTGGTAAACATGGGACATTCAAGGATGCAGTTAGGCAAAACAATCTACGAGGATACCATAATGCAAGATATCATTTCATTGCTTAACTTGGGTGCCAGTTCAGGCGGTTGGGCTGTTATCTGTCGTGGGTCAGATTTCAGGATCAAGGCAAAAGGGAAACAAATTTTGTATAGCTTGCTTAATTTTTGTGAGTGGAAAGACAACATAAGACGTCCAGATTTCCTTGGTGCGCTTGAGCATTATCTTAAAATGAACCCAGGGCACGTTGGTAAGTTACTTTATTTTATTTTAGTTGTAGTATTTAGAACCCACAAGGCCTATTAAAAATTGAAAATGCTATACAATGCAGATGTCTATAAGCATATCAAATCTCATGAGGAGATTATGGATATCTTTGAGAGGACCCCTAAGGTAGGCTGCATGGAGATTCTCAAGGCTTTGGTATCAGCTACAGATGATTGGCAACCGCTTGTTTGTGGAACAACGAAGCAGAGGGTTTGATCTACTTTGGCTTTCTGTTATTATAATTATTATTATTATAACTATTATTATTCTACATTGTTCATGTTCTGTACAATTCCCAACAACAGGTTAGTGTAGATCTTCTGAAAAGAAAAAAGTCCCTATTATTGCTGTTATCAGGCTGCAACATCTCAGAAGAAGAGCTAGCTGTGCTTATGCAGATTTACCAAGAAAGTCACGGTACTGCAACAAGCAATGAAGAAAGTGATTATGAGATCGTATGGCTCCCAATTGTGGATGCATCGGAAATGACAACAGAGATTGCACAAGAATTTACGAGTAAACAGGAGAAAATTCCTTGGTACACCGTGTACAACCTTTCAATGATTAGTGAAGCAGCAACTAAATTCATCAAACAAGTTTGGCATTATGAGGGAAAGACTATTCTTGTAGTGCTTGATCAGCAAGGAAGGGTTGTATGTCCTAATGCATTGAATATGATATCTATTTGGCGAAAAGATGCATTCCCTTGTACAATTTCAAGAGAAGAAGCCAAGTGGAAGGATAAGGATATGGTCTGGAGTCTTGATTTGATTGTAGATGAACTGAATCCAAGAATTCGAAAATGGGTAGAAAATGATTATATAGTATGCCTCTATGGAGGAGGGGACATAAATTGGATTAAAAACTTTACTCGCACTGCAAAGGAAGTTTCAAAATCTGCAACTATCCACCTGGAGATGTTGTATGTGGGAAAGAGCAATCTAAACCATCGTGGCTGGAGAAACATTGAAAGCTTTGAAGAAGAAGAACTTAGCCATGTCTGGAGAGACAGATTGGGTTTAATTTGGTTCTGGTATAGAATAAAAAGTATGTGGCTCTCTAGATATCAAATAGTGAAAACAATCGAGGGTGATGAAATAATGCAGGAGCTCACTACACTTCTTAGCTTTGATAGCAGTGAATGTGGATGGGCTATAATGAATAAAGGATCAAAACCAGGTGTTATTGCCAAAGCCAAGGGAAGTGACTTTTTGGATTGCTTGTCAAATTTTGAAAATTGGAAAGAGGAAGCATCCCAGAAGGGCTTTGTGCCAACACTTAAAGAAAAGCTTACGCATCTTCATAAGCCAGAGGACTGCTTCCAACTCGTGCTTCCTGAATTGGCTGAAACCAAACTAGAAACTGGAGAATGCTGCCATTGTCACCGAAGCATGCAGAGGTTCATTACTTTTAAATGTTGTGGTAAATAAATTAAAACTTGGTAAGGGGCGCTTTACCCTTTTATGAGCTATGAGCCTACCCGGTGTGAATCCAATTTAGTCACGCCAGTGAGCTTCTGATACTGAGGATTTCCACACGCGCCCGCACGAAAAAAAAATAAAAAATAAAAATCCAATGACTACTCGATGCAACCATTTCTGCAGGATCAATTATATATTTATTTGGTATTGTGCTTTATGAGTTAGTTTTCATACATTGTACTAAATATTCATAATTATAAGTTAATGATTAGAATATAACTATAAGTTAATGAAATGAACTTAAGTTGTAATAAGGGTTAATTGAGATATACGTAAAACTAAAGATTGAGATGAAATTTATGATTATGGCTCTAGCTAATATAATTACTAGTTGCATCTCTAAATTCAATTGGGAATAATCTGTATATGAGCTTTCATGCTAAATATTTTTCAATACTTACATTCAAAAGTTAAATGTAAGTATAATAATATTATGAAAAATAAAAAAGAATTTAGTTAAAATTTAAATTTTAGGGCTATATATTGGGAAAGCTGTTTAGTCCCTATTGTTTTCTGCAATTAACCATTTAGTCTCTGTCGTTTCATTATTTAGTCCCTGTGGTTTACAAGATGAATTACTCCTTCCATCTAAAATTTTTACTTCTATCTGTTAAATTCTTAGATAAAAAACACAAATACCCTAATTTTAGATCAGTTTTTTTTTTCTCTTGAGTTTTGCTTAATTATTATGCAATTATTATTACTATTTTGCATGTTTTGTGATTTTCATGAAACGTTAAAAGTTAAACATTATATGAGTTAACTTTTCACAAAATATTACATTAATCTTTGAAAGTTCGTTCAAATGTTATGTTAAGTAGCATTTAGCGTGTTGACCAGTCAAAATGCTAAAAATTACTTAAAAAACTGTTATCAGACACAACCTTGATATATCATAACACTAAGAACTTTATAGATTTTTGCAATTTCATCTTATTTTTGATTTTTTTTTTGGTTAATTTTACTCTAATTTCAATTTTTTTAACAATACCACTCTCAATTGATATTAAGGATGAATTCATAAATGAAAAGGTATTTCCATCAATTTTTAAATCATCCTTTGACTCAGATAAAAATTTTAAAAAATAAAAATTTGAAAAACATTCTATTAGTCTAAACAAATAATATTGCACATTAAATTTTAATTTTAAAAAACATGTGATAATTAATAACATAAATTCATGTTACTTACCGAAAAATCTCCAAGCATTGCCTAAAAATTATATTAATAAAATATTTTTTTAATTATATTTTTTGTTTTATATTATCTATTTTTTAAAGATGGAAAGTCCTAATTATTGTAATTTTTGGATTGATAATATAGTCAAATTATTATTCATTTAATAATAGATAAATAATAATTTTTTAATTATATTAATTGCACATATGTCAAATATTATATCTTAAATCCATATATATGCTATCCATATTGGCTAGCTGCGAATACAATTTGATGTCCAAAGAAAATTTAAAATTTTATTTTTATTAAGAATTTTTTAAAAAAGAATAAAAATATTTTTTCATTTGCAATTCCATCCTTAATTGCAATTGAGAGTACTGTTTCTACAAAAATTCAAAATTAGGATAAAATCAATAAAAAGTATCAAAATAGGGTAAAAGTGCAAAATCCTACAAAATTCAGAGTATTCTAATTATGCCAAAATATGAGTTTGTCGTAAGATTTATTGAGATTTTTTTTTTTTTTTATTTTCATACCAGAGAGTGCGAGGAGAAAGAATTATACATTAGAAATAAGAGTATATTTGTCTTTTCGCGAGTATTTAATGAAAAAATTTAAATTTTGGATGGAAGTAGTTATAATAGTCCAATTGTGATAAACAATAGAAATTAAATTGGACTATACGGCAAGAAGTAGCCCTTAAACTTGAAACATCTCATTTTCCAAAACATGAGAAGCATAATTAAACTACAGCTGATTGACACTAAATGATGACTTGTGAATTCTGTACCCAATAAAAAAACCATAACTACTATTAGTTATAGATTGATGCAATAAACACTCCAACTTGTTAAATTTGACTTTTTAAATACTTTTTTGATCCATTAAAATGCCTCTACTTATTATACAATTGGATTGATTAAACATTTATTATTAGATAGGTAAAAAATATAAAAATTATTATTTTAAAAATTTTATTAATTTCAAGATTTTTCTGTTAAACCTTAGCGGTTAAATTATGTATTTTTTCGTCAGAAAATAAAAATAGGAGGCAAAGCCATAATTAAATCCCTAATCTAAATGCAGGAGTTGATGGTTTATCTAAATTCCTGAGTAAATTTATTGGTTTAGCCATTGAAGACTTTGGATTTGGAGGAAAGAAACGCATAGCTAAAGTCATCAACGACAACATTGATGCAATTCCCGTTTTGTTTTTCATTTTTTTTTTTTTTTTTTTTTTTTTTTTTTTTTTTTTGTTTTTTTTTGGTTCTTTTTAGCTTATAGTTTCAAATTTTACTTACAAAGAAAGCACAAGGGTATCAAGAAATAAAGTGAAGAGAAATGAAAGCTGTGGAGGTAGTGTCCACTGTCTAATAAATTACATCATATTCTCCACTTTATTAGCTTTTTCTTCTTTTTTTTTTTTTTCAATTATTTTATTTTTTTTATTAATTACAATGCAAGCAAGGAAGTGGATTCAAAGGCAAACTTTATTCCATTTCTTTTTTTTCTTCTTTTTCTTTTTCTTTTTCTTTTTCTTTTTAAATTAAGGTCTAATTTTGAGATTATAACTATAAAATCAGTTCAATGCGTATAAAAAAAAAGAAGAAATTATTGTTATACTAAAATAGTTTTGGAGTATGAAAATTCATTGGAAAATAAATTAAAAAAAGGGATCATAAGACTCATAACATTACCATCTTAAGCTCCATTTTTTTTTCTAGGAAATAAATTATCTTTGGAAAATATTTTCTTTGAAAAACATTTTTTAAATAAACACATTTTTCACTGTTTGATTGCAATATTGAAAATTAGTGAAAAATATTTAAAAAAAATTAATTTAATAGGACTATAAAATATTTATAATCTAGAAATATGATATTTTAAAATTTTATTAAATAAGAAAAAAATGCATAAAAATAATAAATTGTGATAGTCGTGAGTCACCGATACATGTTATGGCCATGACAACTAGTGGCTATGGATGATTAATAAAATTAATAAATATGTATTTATAAGCTCGGCAACGCCGCAACTTATGCAATGAGGTGAATTTAAATATATAGGTGAATTTAATATATATACTAGGGTGGTAATAGTATATATAATATATAATATCATATATTATATATATATCTGAAATTTTGAAAAATTACTTATTAGATTTTAACCCAACTTGATGGTGTCTTAACCATCACAAATTTTTAATTGTATCCGGGTCGATTTTAGGATTTTATCTTTAAGTTCATTAAATAAAATAATCTGATTTAATTTTTTTGTTTTTATACCATAAGTATATATAATCTGAAAATTTTGAAAAATACTTATTAGATTTTTACCCAATTGATGGTGTTAACCATCACAAATTTTATTGTATCCGGGTGATTTTAGGATTTTATCTTTAAGTTCATTAAATAAAATATCTGATTAATTTTTTTTTATTTATACCATAGGTGTTTCTAATCCATTGAGCTAATTAAACGTAATCCTGCTTGTGACACATCAAGGCAAAGAGGAGGAAGGGCTCCCATGAGTGCTATTCTTAAAAGTGGAACACTCGACTTTTTTCTTAAAAGAGAGATGTAAGTCCTTTCAACTTAGACCAATCCCGTTGATAATTTAAAAGCTTTTTAATCTTACCTAATAATTAAAATGTTACAAATATATGAAAAGATTCAATAAAAAATTCTTCATCTCATCCTTCTAAATAATGTATATCTAATTTTTCGAAGTTAGTGATAATTCAAAAACTATTTTATGGCATGTTATTACTTACAAGTCATTAACGTTTTTCAAATTTTGTTTAGAACTAAAAAGTGTAAAATATTAATATTAACAATATTGTTAATTTACTTTATCATTATTATTATTTATGTAATTTTAATTTTTTAGAGTAAATACCATATTAAATTTTTATTGATGATTTGTTAGTATTTTTATTTTTTATCCATCAGAATACATCTTATTTCAAGGCAAGTCTAAAAGGAAAATAATTTTTTATTTATAAATTATATTTATAAATTATTGAAACAATTACTTCATTATAAAATATTTCTAGCTCTGCGGTTGTGTATAGAGTTAGAATAAGTCTATCAATATCCCATAAATATTTTTTTTTTAAAAAAATAAGAAATCATTTTCTTTAAAAAATTGACTTAGTTTTCCTTTAAAGATAAAAATATTTTCTTTTGATCAGATTTTCCTGAGCACCACAAACATTAGCAAATTTGAAAAAATATTTTCTAGAAAAGTTATTTTACGTAAACAAACAGATCACAGCTGTAGTAACACTTCTAAGACTAGTTTCTTTGTGGTCTTTATTCCATTTGTTCTTTATATATATGCAGTCTGGAGCTGAAAAAACACAGTGCAATGTTAATCTTAGCCTAAACCTTCCATGTCCGACAGTGCTATACTATCTTGATCAGAATGGCACCCGATAAGAGAGGAGAAGCAGAGTTAGAGTATGAAACTCAAGCTTTGACTAATATAGAAGAGAAGATACAGCAAATTCGGAAAACTCATCATCCTGATGGCCCAGACGTTGATGTCCAAAATCTTCTGCAAATCCTTGAAGGCATCGATAGATATGTTACCCCCTACCAAGTAACAATAATTACTGCTAATTATACTTATATTATATGATATAGGATATGATTAATTATTATAATACCCGTAATTAGCAAGTCCATTTCTTTATACTATTTTTAAATTTAGCACTATTATTACTCTTTAAACTAATTTAATTTAAGACTCGTTTGGTTCAGCCGTTCTTCAGAACAGTAACAGTAACAGATCTGCAAGGTCATTTGGCTGACGTGGACTTTCCCTCAACTGTTATTATTCACCAAATATCTTCCAAGGTTAATGACAATGGCATTGGTGGATTATATATGTACATTTTTCTTCTTCTTCTTCTTTTGGTTCCGGAAATTCTGAAATGATCGTAAAATAATGAATTGCAGATTTCATCCCAGCCCCTCAGAAAAGCAGATCCCCATGAAGCAGCTCTCGCATTATTCAACTCAGTGCTAACAAAATATCGTTGGGATGCAAAGTTGATTCTAACAATGGCAGCTTTTACTTTGAACTGTGCAACACTTTACCTTTTATTAGATTCTTATATCTCAAACAAAATTAGCGTCTCATTGTCAATCTTCAGGAAATTTCCTATACTAACCCCAAAAGAATTTGGCATAAGAGAATTCTCTGAACGGTGGTTTGGCGAACTTAGCGATCTGAGGCAGAAGATGAAGAAAGTGTCACGGCGTGTGATCGAGTTTAGAGACTTACCACCTCGTTACATTTCCCTGGAAGAACCACCATTATCTGACGCCCTTCAACATATCCCTATTGCTACCTACTGGACGATAAGGAGTGCTTTGGCTTGCTTAACTTATATTGCCAAGGGATCTGAAACTGACAAGTATGCTTCATTTCTTCCTTTTTTTTTTTTTTTTTTTTTTTTTTTTTTATAAGGAGTGCTTCTGGCTTGCTTAACTTAATATTGCCAGAGGATCTGAAACTGACAAGTAATGCTTCATTTCTTCCTTTTTTTTTTTTTTTTTTTTTTTTTTTTTGGCTAATTAGCGTTTTTTTTTTTTTTTTTTTTTTTTTTTTTTTGGCTAATTAGGCCTTGGACTGACACAAATTATTTGTATTTTGTTTTAGGGATTTGAAAGGAGAGCTACCGTTGCTGAAAAAGAAACTGGAAGAAGAACTCAAGTATCTAGACAAGCAGCTAGATTGTTGTCGCCAACACATAGGTTTGTTACGTGTACATATGTACATACATATAACAATTTTGGCAGAAGTTTCAAATGTGAGCTTTTCTTAAAATCCGAATATATTGAAAGATTGATTGATATAAAATATTTGCAGAGGAGAAGAAGGATTTTGAAGGCTATCTAATGCTTCTGAATGTTTTGGATGCAAATCAAGGCGACAACAGGGAAATCCTCAGGGCTCTGATTCCAACTGAGAATGATTCTGCCGAACCACTTTTTTATCCCCGGACCCAGTCACCGGTTTGCTCTCCTAGCTACGAGCACATATCACTAATATAAATATTTGAATTAGCCTAACGCAAGAATTTGTTTTATTTCTCATGGATAGGTAAATATTGATGCACTGAGAAGGAAGCAAGTTATATTGCTTATTTCCAACCTAGATATTACAGACACTGAAATTCTTATGCTTAGAGATATATACTATGACAACAAGTTCTTTCAACCAATGGGAGAACAGTATGAGGTAGTTTGGATTCCAGTTATTGAGTCTCCTTGGGATGAGTCAATGAACGTTAAATTTGAGGAATTAACAAAATTAATGCCATGGCATATCTTGCGCTTTCCAAGACTGTTACGAGAACAAAAGAGGGTGATTAGATTGATTAAGGAAGTGTGGCGCTTCAGGAACAAGCCTATCACGGTGGTGCTTGACTTCGATGGTACTGTGGTGTGCGTTAATGCTATCCACATGATGTGGATATGGGGGCCGAGAGCCTATCCTTTTAAGAGGACCAAAGAAGAATCTCTATGGAGTGAAGAGACCTGGAATCTTTGGCTCCTTGGTTGGTTTGGATTCTTCTATCCTATTCGTAGATCGGTAAATATTATATTACTTGCATCAATTGTTTATGTACTTTCTCGAAATTGAACTTCTCATTCAATCTTATAATACTTCTTTTCATAATCGATTAATTTGTTTATCAGATTAGAGAAGAAATGCACATCCTCTTGTTTGGAGGAGAGGATCTTGAATGGTTGAAAGATTTCACAACCGCAGCAGGGCAAGTTGCAGAGGAAGCACAAATTCCACTTCAAATGGTCTATGTTGGTAAAAACGAAAATTTGGAGGAGCTTCCAAATGATCTTTACTGGCCACGTACTGGGGACGTATGGTTCTTTTGGAATAGAATAGAAAGCATGTTGGCTTCAAAGATTGAGATAGCAAAATATGAGGATAATAAAAATGACATTATTTTGCAAGAAATCAAGAAAGTTGTTACGTACCACAAAGAAGGTGGCTGGGCCTTGCTTAGTAAAGGAGATAAGATTTTGGTAAATGGGAGGAGTAAAATTTTTTTTCGTGTGTTCAAAGATTTTGAAAAGTGGAAGGAAGATGCTACGATTAATACTGAGTTTGATAATCGTTTCCGGAATTATTATGATAAAATTAATAAAGGAGATGATAGTGTTGGTCATTTTTGCTGTCGGTTCAATTTTCCGGCCACCCTCCTCGGTCAGATTCCTCGAAAAATGATTTGCCCGGAGTGTCATTCCACTATGGAAAGACAGATTACTTTAGTTTGTTGCCACAAGGATGAGATCATAGAATCACCACAGCTAGAGTAATGCCTGCAAGAAACTTCCGTATAGGCAAAGAAAAGTGAAAGAGTGGATTAATTTTCAGTATTTGGCTTGTGTTTTTGTTTTGTTATTGAGTATTGGCAGTATTTGATAATACATGAGAAAAAAATTATAAGAAGAAACAGTGTGGTCTGTCATAGATGGAGCTTCGTTAGGGCAAGGGGGGCAATGGCCCCTGAATTTTTCTTTTTATTTTTAAATACATATTTAAATAATCATTTTCTGAAAAAATTTAATATCCTAATTAATTTTTTAATTTTATTTCTTTTTTAATTTTCTGTCTTCATGTCACGACCGGACCGATACTAGGATCTAGATAGGCTTAAAAGCCTCCAAAGCTCGTAGTAAGCCAATAATATACCAAACGAACTTCCTGTTCAATAAAAATGGCCTCAGGTTCAATTTCATCAACATTTAAATACCATAAATTAATATAAATAATAGTTCTCTAGGCCCGTATTAATATATTACATGATAGAAAATTTAATAAGTAATACATCAATAATTTCTAAATTTTATTAGACAGGACTATCGTAATTGCGGAACAATCTAAGAATTTAAAACTTTACTTCAATACACTAAACAAAACAAATTAAGGTTTCATTTTTAACATTTCCCCTAGATGTTAGGTGGCAAAGAATCAAGAGATACTAGAAGACTTGTAACCTGAAAAAATATCAAGGCAGGGATGAGCGTCTAAACTCAGTGAGTATGTTAGTTAACCTTCTCACCCTACACAATTATATAAATGCGTAAATAAATCAATCTAATCATCCGACTAGTTATATGATCATGCAGTCAATCACACAAATGACATAACAATAGCAATCACAAAAAAAATTAACACCTTCACATAATCATATCACATGGAAATTGATCAGTGGCATCGCCAAAACCCCTGACGAGTCGTCCTCACACGTGGCCCGCCTTCTCATCACGTGTGCACCAGGAAGCCGATCTCCATACATGGCCGACCTATCTCAACCTCACTTGACCAGCCCTCACATTTTTTTTATACTCTCTTTTCTTTTCCATACCAACAGGAGGCCACCATGTGGTTTTCCATATCATATTTCATCAGATACACACGGGAGCATCGATCTCCCCATACATGGTCGACAGTATCATAGACTGTCCTCACAAATCCAACAGTGACTCACTTCATCCCAATTCCATACAAGCAAAGCATATATGAAGCACATCACGACTAATCAAACCATTTCCAATAGCAATAAATAATGCAATATAAAATAACAATTTAATAAGTAATACATGTCTAGCATTTAGTCGTGTATATATGGGTGCAAATGCAAGTAGATGATACGAATTATCGAACACTACTCACAGTTTTTTATTGTCTTTTAACATGACTCTCTTTATTACTAACCTCTTCTAGCTTTTGTCTTAACGTTCTGGAACTTTATAAGCATCTAGAAGGACAATTTCTAAATAAAAATTCTAATTAAAAAAAAAAAAAACTTATTTCTCATTCATTAGCTAATTATAATCATTACGCTGTATATATGTCGTGGCAATGCAAGTAGATGATACGAATTATCGAACACTACTCACAGTTTTTTATATGTCTTTTACATGACTCTCTTTATTAGCTAACCTTCTTAGCTTTTGTTCTTAACGTTCTGGAACTTTTATAAGCATAAGCATCTAGAAGGACAATTTCTAAATAAAAATTCTAATTAAAAAAAAAAAAACTTATTTCTCATTCATTAGCTAATTATAATCATTATAGCTGCTTACCTTTACTTATTAACTACATAATACAAGTCCTTTATTTATTTATTTGTTTGTTTGCTTATTTATTTATTCTAATTGACATTTTAATAAAGCATAAGGTTCTTCTAGTAACTAATGTTCTATATCACTAATATTAATAATAATAATAGTAATAATAATAATAATAATAATAATAAAGAGAATACTAATAATGCTAATAGTATAGCTAATAGTATAATAGTAATGTTAGAATGGTAAGCATACTAATAGTTTTTTTTATTTTTTTAATAGTTACTCTTATTAACCATACAACAAACCTAATTCTTTAACAATCCCTTTCTGCCGAAAATCCCGCAACATTTTCTCTATAAATTGGGTTATTCATATTTTATATATCACAAATATCAACGCTATACGCACAGCTCATCCATCGGGCAAAACAATCCAATCTAAAGCCCATCCTCCATCATTATAATAACATCTACCATATTCAACTGTAATAACTCCATATAAATATATTTCTTATTATCTGTCAATTCAAGTTTATAAGTATTATCAATTAAGGATATTCATGTTTAACTCAATCCATTCTAGAGTTCACACTTAAATGTATCAAATAGCTTAAACATTCAAAACATTAAAATCATTAAAATCGATAAGGTATCAAGTAGTTATCCATATAGTAATAACAACATTCATAAAAATTTCAATTTATCTTTCACGTTTCGACTCATAACATTTATTCTAAATGACTTATATTCTTAATTTTCAGAATTAAATGTATTCATCTATCAAGGTTCCTAACAAGAATCATATTCAATTAAATATTTAATCGAAATAACTTAATCAACTAGTAGTTTTAAATTTGGAATTTATACCGAAAATGAGGAACTAGGTCTTAGAGCTTACCAATCAAAAATCGGACTAAGATTCCACGATCAACGCGAGGAGAAGATGATTCTGCCTCTTGGGCCTTCGCCGGACGCGAGGAGAAGATGATTCTGCCTCTTGGGCCTTCGCCGGAGACTCGCCGGCCGATCACCGGATCTCTGCCACCACGGTGGCCGGAAAATCTAGCCTGCCCAGAATTTATCAATGACCATACCATCCAACTCGAAATTCGCCGAGGAGTCCATTTCCGGCGTTATTTTGGTGAGGTCGGTCCTAGCCTGCCCAGAATTTATCAACGACCATACCATCCAACTCGAAATTCGCCGAGGAGTCCATTTTCGGCGTTATTTTGGTGAGGTCGGTCCTCTAATTGGCCGGAATAAGCTCGACAGGAGCTTTAAGCTGCCAGCCATGGCGGTTTCCTCATTTTCCGATAAACCCATCAATCGACTCAGGGAAAAGGCTCGCCCAGTCGCAAGGAGCCGATTCGAGCTGACCTTGTCACCCCAGCTCCTCGAGAAGGGAGAGAGTCGCCGGAAAATGGTGCTGCGACAGTAAAAACCCCTTTAGCTTGCGATTTCTCACCAACGGTGCAATAACAGCACCATTTGAGGCCATGTTCTAGATCCTTGTGTCGAATAGGTGGATTTAGAGCATTCGTTCGTCGAAAATGGTGGCCGGTGGCCGGAGAACGAAAGAAACGGAGGGGGAGGAGGTTCGACGATTGGGGGTGAAGGAAATGAGAAAAAAAAAGATTTTTTCTTCCCTTCTTCCTAGGCATGGCCACCGTTTCGATTCTAACTGGAATCGAACCGTACTGTAGACGAACCGGAATCAGATCGGAACCGGTGGTTCATAATTTTGAACCGAAACCGGCGATTCAATGGCCGGTTAAGGTTCATGTAAATCTTAAAATATGAACCGGAACCGGCGGTTAACCGGCAGTTCTGGTCCGGTTCGAACCGGATACACAAAAAAATTGTAGCGTAAAATGTTTATAAAAAAATTTATATTACTTGATTTGATTGTAGTTGATTTGATTTATGGTGAAGAGAAGTACAATGGTACATAAGTTATAAAAAGTGGTGAAAATAAAAAGTGGTGAAAAAATACACGTTTTTTTAAAAAAGTGGTGAAAAAAATACACATTTTTTGACTTAATTTATATAAAAAATGGTACATGAATAGTTGATTTATAAAAAAAAAAAAACTTTCAAATGTACAAAAAAAAGAATGTAATGGATAGTTTTTGATATGATAGTGTTATTTATTTATTTTTTAGTAAATAAATTTTATTCATTTTTAATTATTTATTTATTTATTTACTGTAATCTACTAAATTATCCAAAAATATAGCTATTTTTCTGTTATAAGGGACAATTTGAAAAATTAATAAATGAGAAACATGTATAAATATGATGAGTTGGTGATTTTTTATTTCACAATCAATTATATCATAACTCTTCTTTTATTTTTAATCAAAATTCTCTCAAATTTCCATAGTTCATTATTTTTTCTATTGCTTTATTTTTCTTAATATTGGAATTATCTATTGTTTAATTTTTATTTTCTTACATACAATTCTAAATTGTTTCTCTAATCTCAATTTTTTCCATTCATAAATTTACTTCATTTGATTTTTTAAATAATTTTCTTAGTATTTGAAAATAATAATTTTCATTTTCCAAACTCATTCATTATTTTATATTCCATTTATAGTTTCTATATTAGTAAATTAGCAAAAATTTTGTAAAAATTTAATATATAAATAGTTCTAAGTTAGTTAATAAGAAAGTTTTTCTTTTTAAAATTTATTAATTAATAATATTATTTAGTTAATAAATTTTAAGACAATTTAAAAATTATTATTTATTTATGAATTTATTATTTATTTATGAATTCAGAATCAAAATTTTATTATTTTTTTAAAAATTTGTGTAATGCCGGAACCGAATCGGAACCGTAATTCGAACCGTCGGTTCTCCGGAACTGTGCCGAACTGTGCCGGAACCGGAACCGGAACCGAAGGTTCAAGGGTCGGTTCTGGTTCAAAATTTTAAACATCTCGAACCGGCGGTTAAAATTTTGGTACGATTAGAAATTTATGAGTATAATATTATTTAAAATTATTCCTAATTAAATTAAATTCAAAGACTTATGAAAATGAAAATTGGAGTTGTTTCACTTCATAGTCTACTACTTCTTGTTTAATAATTGTTGGTTTCTCCTAATGCATTATAATTTAGGGAATGTAATAAATTAATTTTGGATTACAATATTCAACTTAATTACACCTTATATTCAACGTTAGTATTTATAAATTAATTAATTTTTACAATATAAAGCATGGATTTCTAATTTTAAGTTATTGTAATTTTTTATTGTAGCTATGGAACGATCCTTTGACAGATCAATGAGCTACTGATCATTATTCTGTAACTTGCATGGAAAGATATATATTCACAAGTATTGATAAAGTAAAAAAAAAAATGAAAATAATTATTGTAATTTAATTGTGATAGTTATTTTCCTTTTGTAAGAAATTCTTGTCACATATATTTATTTTATTTATGCTATTTCTATAAATTATATATTTAAATTAAACTCTCTCGATACATCACTGAGTTCTGGATGATTTTTTCATTTACGTAAGGAGTAAGTGAAACGACCCGAAAATTTAATTTCGTAGAATTTTCATTTAAAAACTAAATTTTTTATTTGAACCAATGAGATTATACCAGCTAGTATTTTTGAGATTATACCAGCTAGTATTTTATTATGCTAAACTTGGACCATTAACCAATTCCATTTTTTCGAAAGCCAGCGAAAAACTCGAAAACCAAGCAAATTGAGCCAAGTCATAGAATTAGACCAAACCGGTTCGAATCGAACCGGAATGGTCTAGAAACTCCAGATTTTTCTTTCCTTCTTTTTCTTTTCTTCTCCTCTTTTTCCAGCGGCAGCACATTTTTTTTTCCTTCCTTCCCCATTTTTCCGGGAGGGCCAGAGCGCTCGCCACCACCACCAGCGCCTCTTCGCCGCGCCTCCACGCCGCAGCGGATTCCGGCCTCCCTTCCTCTCTCCTCTTTTGTTTCTGGCGCACGTAGAAGGCGCAGGAGAGCCGCAACTTCCTTCGATCAGGAAATCGCGGCGAGTCTCCTGCTCCTCGACTTTCTGGCGACACCAGCTTATCACAGGCCCTCTCCTCATCTCTAGCATTTCTCCAGCCACCATCCTATTCATTTCCGACCAAGTTAGCATCGACAGAATTGGCTTTTGAACAAAGGATTTTGAACAAAAGGAAGCCGCTGCCGGATTGTTCTAACAGAAAATTTCGATTTCCGGCTTTGTATCGCAGCTGGGTTAAGTCAATTTGCCAAACCTTCATCAATTTAGTTTATGAGTTCCTTGATCAAAGATGAGGTTTTGAATCATAATCAAAACTATTGCAATAAATTTAGAACTGCATAAATTTAGACTTTAGCTCCTACTATTTATACACATTTAAAAAAAAAAATTGATTCTCTAGTTTAGTTTAATTATTAGCTAAATTAATGGATAATTTAGCATGAACAAAGGGATTTCAGTTTAAGAATAGATATAGCATGATTATGAAAGCAACATTGTCACCAATGCTTGAGCTATTGTAGAAATTTATATATCTAGCTACTATTTAGGTGAATGGAATGTGATTAGGAATTTCGAATTTTTGCTCTTTAAATTGGTATATAAACTGATTCGTATATTGGGATGGTTAGGGTATTGCATCTATTATAAATCTTTATGAAGGATTTAGGGTTCTTTAGGTTGAAAATAACTAATTAGCTATATGCTCAAGTTCTTAATATCCTATGAAGAAATTATTGAACTATTTCCATTTTGAATGAGTTATAAATTGAATTTTAATAAGTTATGTGCAAACCAGTGGATATATTTGGGGGTATTAAATAGAAAATTTTGAATTCCATGAGCTAGCAGTAGTTAATTAGTTGGTTCTTTGAATTATAATGTTTGGGATGGGTATTTGAAGTTGTAAATGAAGTTCTTGTAGGGTAGTGAGTTAGCTAGTGTGTAAAATCTACTGGTGTAAAATATGAAAATTTAATCATGAAGTTCAGACTTCTTAGATTTTGGCAGCAATTCTTTTCATTTCAAATTTATTTCTGGAAAATTGTAGCCTACGTATCGTACATTGAAGTCTATACAATTTGATTTGCGATAAGAGTAGATTTAATTCTTGTTAAGAATTAGTTAGTTGGTATATTGTAAGTTGTAAATTGGATTTCTTGGTAAGATGTACTCATTAAATTTTAATTTAATTAAGGCATTTGTTCTTATTGGCTAATTTAAAATATGATAAAGGTATGAATATGTGATTGTCACCTTTAAGCAAGGATGAAGAAATGAAGGTTTGATAAAGAGTTCTATAATATTTAATGGCTAGGTAACTATCAAACGAGGATGGCTGAATTTAACTTAATGATACAAGTTTTGTTTATAAATTGTACATTTATTTGATAATTAGTTAGAGAATAATTAACTAAATATTGTTGGAACATGCTTAGGAGGTTATTCATAATTTGTAAATTAATTGGTGCATTGTTGACATGGTTGTTTTGAAAGGAGGATGGAATTAAGGCCTGATTGATTGCCCGAACGGATGGGCTGTGTGTTTTGATTGATAAATATATAATAATACTGTGTTTCTAAACAGGTGGATAGTCCAATTTTAGGGGAAATGCTGCCGAAATTTCAGGTAGACACCTAGGCTACACATAATTAAATAAGTTATTTAGATTAAATTTCTATAACTTGATATTTAATAAATAAAAAGTGCTCTGATTATTTTATTATTATCCATGAATATTCATTTAATTTATTTATTTTCATTATTGTTGTTTATTATTGTTATTTATTTTATTGTTGTTGTTTATTGTTAATATTATTTATTTATTTATTCATTTATTTGCATTTGAGAATGGATGTCAAATTGTGCATCGCATTACGACGTGCAATTGATCAATATGTCTGCATTTGATTTCAATGTTTGATTAATTGTGTTGTGATAATGCTATGCTTTGTTTGTGT